AAGATATTCTATACCGACCACGTTACTAACCAGGACATTTTATTAAGAATGCAAAAAAGAAACGAGTTGTTAACCACAATAAAAACAGCTAAAAATTAAATACCTTGGTTACATCATGAGGAACGGCGAAAGATATGGGTTGCTGCAATTAATTTTTCAAGGAAAAGTAAAAGGAAAACGAAGACCAGGAAGGTGAAGAATTTCCTGGCTGAAAAATCTACGTACGTGGTTCAACACAACAACCACAAATCTTTTCAGAGCCGGAGTTTGCAAAATACAGATTGATGCACAATGCTGCAAATCCCGCAAAATGCAGAACGTTGGCGACCATGATGGTTGTCAGCATCCGAAACGGATAGGCCTACAAGAAGAAAAAGGAGAGAAATTGAGTGCAGATGAGTCTGAGATATCTGAATTTATTCATAATTTGAGCAAAAAGATTTCCTAATTAGACCTACTCCTGAACAACTTTATAACGCTGATGAAACCGGTCTAAACTGGCGGCAACTTCCAATAGAGACATTTGTCACTTTAGACGAAACAAAAGTTTTTGGTAGAAAACTTTAGAAAGAACGTCTCACTCTCATGGTATGCGCGAATGCATCATGATCCCACAAATTGAAGTTGCTAATCGTCATCATCATCATCATCAATGGCGCTACAACTCTTCGTGAGTCTTTGCCGCGTTTACTATTGCCTTCATGTTTGTCGGTCCTGTGGCAGTTATTCCCATTGTCGCACTCCCATCTTCTCTAGATCTTCTCCGACTGCATCTTTCCACCTTTTTCTAGGTCGCCCTACAGACCTTCTTCCATCTGGCCTTTCCCAGAACACATTGTTTATAAGGCGATTGTCGTTACTGCGTATCACATGTCCTGCCCATCTGAGTCTATTGGCCTTTATATATCTGACTAGATTTTCTTTTCCGAATAGAGACTCTAGCTCGTTATTGTATCTGCCCCTCCATTCGTTTGTCACGTTGTATCTGCCATATATCATTCGAAGAATTTTACGTTCCCACACCAGCAGTTTATTTACTTCTCTTTTTGTTATCGTCCATGTTTCGCTTCCATACGCGACTGTTGGTCCAAATCGCTAATCGTGGGTAAGTCCAAAAAACATCGTGCCTTAACAAAGGTTAAAATTGAGAAGCTACTAATTACGTACATGTGGCAAAGCCGTGTCTGGGTGACAAAAGAAGTTCTTCTGGATTGGTACAAGAACAGCTTTGTTCCACAAGTTAAAGATGAGCTAAGAAAAAAGAAACTGCCAGTGAAATCCCTCCTTTTGTTAGACAATGCTGCAGGGCATCCTGATAGGAACGAATTAAAAATCGAAACTGTTGATGGATATATAGAGGCAATGTACTTACCGAAAAATGCTACTGCGTTGATTCAGCCCATGGATCAAAACGTTATTAAAATTCTCAAGGCAGACTACAAATAAACAACTAGTTGTGGATATTGTAAGTCAACCTAATGCTGACATTACTTCAATTTTCAAAAATTTAACATTAAATATGCTATTATCAATGCTAAGCTTACCTGGCTGTAAGTCAAGCCTACTACACTGATTAAATCGTGGAAGAATATTTGGCCCAACAACCCACTCCTTCCAATAGAAGTTAACAAAGAATCCAATGACCAACCTGTGCAAGTTGTACTAGATGCTTATCCTTTAAATTTTCAATAATATGTCTCATTCATCAGAATCAAGAGTAGTTTTACAAGAGAGAGTTTCAGGTGACAATCTCAATTCTGACTTAACAGATGAAGAAATAATTGAAGAAATGACAGAATCTGATGAACACGTGACCCAGGAAGCACAGGATGAAAAATCTTTCACCGTCAACTATGATTATTCTATATTGGCTGCAAACACTTTGTGTTAGTTAGTGCAAAAAGAAAGCATGTGCCTTTGAACAAAATTTGATGTTAAAGGAGAATGAAGAACAAGTAATGACATACTGTCTAAACAAGAAAAACTATTTTTAGAAAAAACTACAAAGAATAAAATATCCACTTAAATTGTTGAGAAGTGTGTATTTTTTATTATAATCAATTATGATCAATTAGTTATCTATCTATTAGTTATCTATTATCAATTAATATAATATAATCAATTATTAAAACCAATCGATCAATACCTATAGATGTAATTTTTTGTGGATAATGATAAACAAGGTATTAAACATTTACTTGAATAGTTTTTATTCAAATACTAACAAATTAATATGCTTAACTTTTGACGAGCAGTTAATCTTCTATATTCTCTATTGTTATTTTTGAACGTTTGTAATGAATGATTAAACAATTTCGACCTTTCATCTGTAGAAACCTCAACTACAATATTAATAGATAATTGATTTAACAACCTATTCATTAAACATAGTAACCAGTAATTTTACGCTACCTATACAATTATGTACAACTATGAACGTTTTACTATTTTCCTAATTGAATTACAAGGTTCATTGAGCGCTTTATTTCATATTTATTATTTATACAAATCAACATAACTATGATTCATGATTATTATGATGACAATTATTTGAAAGAAAAAAATATGTTAATACAATGTATCGACCACTAAAATTAATTTTTCTTCTTCTTCTTCTTCTTGTAGAACATGTTCCTCTTTATTCTATTATCCCAGCTCTTGTGATATTGATGACTAGCTGTCATACCGCCCCTTCGGCTTTTGCCCATTTCGCGGCGATTCTTTCTGAATTCATTCTTTTGACATGATCTCTGAATTTGCGGCGTAGTGCTAGTGTGCATTTCACCACATTGGGGCTCCAGTTTCTCTTAATGTATCCTCATTCCTAATTCTATCTTTGAGAGAAATTTCTCCTATGGTTCTTAATACTTTCATTTCTGTAGTGCTTATCAATATTTTGTTAATATTACTGGCCTTATATATCCTACCATCAACGAGTCCATTAAGTCCACTCCACCCATAAATTTATTGTAAAACGTTACAATCTTAGGACATTCCACAAGAATGGTTTCTTCCTTTGCTTTGTCCCATCTTTGAACTTGACTTGTAGGATATGTGCCTACAAACGAACTCAGTAAATGCACTGGTTTGTTGTCGTACTATTTGACTGCTCTAAGGGTTATTCCTACTTTTTTGTTCTTCGAAACTCCCCCTTCCTTTCTTTTTCATATCTTTGGAAATTACATCATTTCAATCCGATCACACTTCACTAGTTGAAGTGGTACCTATCTGACCCCAGGCTTTTCCTCCACCCCTCCTCATCGTGGTGACTTACGTGAGAAGGCTTATGATCTGAAAGTACTTAAGGTGCCACCACAGAGACACACCTCTGTTATTATTGACTGTGGTTATGCCACCTATCTGTAGGGGTAAGCCACATCTAGGCTTTTCTAACTATTTACTTTACTGACTCGATTGATTTTACTCTAATTCACTTCGGGACTAGGGTCCCTAAAAGAAAAAAAGAAAAAAGAGCGTGTGTTCCGTTCATGAACTCGCCAGCCTAAGCTGGCGACTCCATGTCCGGAAAAGAGTGTGTGCTCGGTCACTCAGCTGCCGATTTGGCAAAATAAATTTTGTTCTCCTCTCCGGCTGGGCGCTCGAGATGTGTCCGGCCACCGAGCCCATGCTTGCCGCATATGACCTCAGTGCTCGGATGTCGCGAAGTGAATCAGTATTCACTTGATCCGATTTAAGGGCCTAGTCCGTATCAGCGGCCTGACAGGCCTTCTATATAGGAAAACAAGATGAATTGATTATTACGTTAAAACGTTTAATGAAAAGAGTTTAGATTTTAAAGTCTATCTATCTATCTAATCAGCCTTAAACGCCCACTCTTGGGCATAGGCATCCCCTGTTAATCTCCATTGGTCTCTATTTTGGGCGATCTACATCCAGTCCTTTCCTGCCGTTCTCTTAAGGTCGTCAGTCCATCTCATCTGTGGTCTTCCTCTTTTTCTCTTCTTTTCCCATGGTCTCCATTGTATAATTCGCTTATTCCATCTGTCATCTTTTTGCCGGAGAGTGTGACCGGCGAAGTTCCATTTAAGTTTTGCAATCTGTCTTGGTACATCGTTCACCTTTGTTTTTCTCTGATCCATGAGTTTCTTTTCCTGTCTTTAAGACCGATACCCAGCATCTATCTTTCCATTGCTCTTTGTGTTTTGGATATCCTGTCGATGTCTCCATTGTGAAAGTCCAAAAAGATTTTCACAAAGATTTTAAAGTACTTAATATTAATAGAAATCAACCATTTTTTTTTGGGTTTGGGGGGTCTTCCTTGTGGCGTTAGGACTATGAAATGCCTGGCACAATTCTTACCCTTTTTTATTCCTTCATGCTAAAGTGTGTGGGTGTATTGGGGTGTGCATTCCAGGGTGTATAGGGCCTTCAAACACTCCGTGTATAGTGTTCTTATCTAAGTGCCTTGGCACCTGTATCCTCTCGCCAGAGTAAACCTAAAAAGCTGCATTCTTTTTGTTTGACTGCATTCTTTTTGTTTGACGTTTGTCGTTTTGTTTGACGTTTGTCCAAAATATTGTCATCTGTCAGCGTTCTAAAATACTTGATTGGGTATACGGGTTTTTAAGTCCTAATGGTAAGCTACCTTTCCAAGGTTGAATTAGTTGTGCAGAGCGACTAGTAATTCGTTTCCATGTGATATTCTGATGATTGGTCATTGTCATCCTCTTTTTCACTATCATCTGCATGGTTCTCATTATTGTCTTTCATATCTCTCGCTCACTTCTTCTGAACAAACATTTCCTGAAATAATTACTATTTAAATGGGAATAAGCCACAATTAAAGGTTAAAGTACGTTTATTGACGTTTCAATTTCCACTTCCGAAATCGTTCTCAAAATACAAACATTAGTAAATTTACTTACATCTTTATATCATTACCAATGATGTGCAATGATAATTATTTTGCTATTATTTTTATATTTTATTTTGTTTTATGTCTTTATAATGCCTAGTAACAAATTTCATTTTATTTATAGAAAAATGAAATCTATAATTTTGTGTTTCGCCCTTGTGGGAATCTGCGCAGCCCAACTTCAAAATCAGAGGATTCTAGAAGCTCCTGTTCCTGCTCTTTGTTCTCAAAGAGTTATTCATGAAAGAACTCCAGATGGTGAGTATTATGGTTAACATAGGATGACTAACATAATTTTAACAGAAACTCTGCATGCTATTAAAAGTAAATAATTTTCAGCGAGATTAACATATACAATCGTGTCAAAACTGGGAATGACTTATATTTTATTTTAGTAGAACAATGTGAACTTGAAAACTTAAATATCATTAACAAGTAGCCGAGGGCCGGCGTGTTCCAACTCATTTTCTTCGCATACTTTCTCTGTTTGCTTTCTTCATTGACGGCCAAAATTTTGAAATTAATTCCTAGTCTTGATGACTTGCACCTTTATTTTTGACAATATCGAAAATTGTTATTAAAACAATTTCTCAATTAAAACAACAGTTTCTCAGAATTAAAAATCACATCAAAATATTCAATTGTGTTTATTTAAACAACCATTTTTGTTAATTTAACTAATGGACTAATCTTTTGAGGAGAATGAAGTACTCTAATCTTTTCGATTTTTAATCTATTATATTTTGCAATTTACATAAGTAATGCATTTATATTATTGTGTAATATGTAATATTTTTATGTAATTATTAATAATACTTAAAAAAAATTATTGTAAAAATTTAATACCTCTTTAATACCTCATTACCCTAATACCTCTACCGTCTCTATCATATGATCATCCCTATTGTTCAGTACATTAAATATTGTCAAATTTCCACAATCCTTTATATAATATTTGAATTTTCTGAAAGTATCCTCCCCAAATGGTTTTACACATTGAAATGGCTCTTGCTGGTAAACTTTTTGTTGTAAGTAAAACCCATAAGAAATTATCCAGGGGAGTTAAGTCAGGGAATACTTGCAGGCCATAAAAGATAAACAAATATTCAAATATTCACTAACTGATAATTTACTGTGGAACGAGGTACCGTATATAAAGTCACTGACGTGATTTTGTAAAAATTGTAAATACATTCAGAATTCATAGATTCGTGGAAAAAATACGGCGCAATTATTCTGTTTGTATAAATACCACACCACAAGATTGTTGTAAATAAATATTAGTTCTGATTCTTTATTGTCCACTGGAGATTTTCCTCAGACTAAGCGGCAATGTTAGGACGAGACAGTTCAACTTATAATAATGAAAAAATATACGTTTCGTGAAAAAAGCCTTGGATGCTGTGGGAAAAATTAAAACCATCTATTATAGTCCCTTTTTTTCATTAAATGAACGAATTGTGATTTAAATAGTCTATGGTTGTTTTGTTTTAAAATTTTTGCTACTGTAGGTATATTTATTTAACTATTTTGTAAGACTAAATACTGTAACTTCATTTTCCACAATGGTAGCTTTAAATTTTCTATGACCGATAGCATTCTAACTGTGTATAATCATTGGCAATCAGTTTTCGCCTTTTTTACATTATTACTATTGTTAATATTCCATTAGTCTTGAATGTCTTGATATTTTCGTACTAGTTGATTGAATAATATTTCTATTGGGATGTCTCTTGTTAAAAATATTTACAGCGTCTTTAAGTGGTTTATAGTTAGGGTGACCATAATTTTTCAACAAAAAAAAAGTACATTTATAATTTTTAAGAAAATATGTACACTGCTAGTGCCCTAGGAAATTTTTCTGGTCAAAATTTTACGAATCTTTAATGAAACAATGATAAGAACGATTTTTTTAATCAAACATAAGTACCTAACAAATGTATAATAAATTTTAATAGTTAATTTTCTTTCGACGTTCCTTTCTGAACATCTTGATCATTTTGGTACCAGTCGTACTTTTGGAACTATGAATTTCCTTCAGAAGTTGTGGTTTACTCTTTAAGAACTGAAACATTTCATTACACGTAACTTTGAAGTTTGTGTAGACTTGCATGATGGCTTCCAAAGTAGATATTTTCAACTGCGATTTGTTGATCCAATAGTTATTGATATTTGAGAACAACCGCTCAATCGAGGTACTGGTCCCGGCAGACAAAAAACAAACTCACATAGAATTTTGAGATTTTTCAAAGCCCTTTCTTTTTGGAAGATTTCGAGCCATCGATCTTCGGTAGAAATATTTTTCGAATTCCAGTCTGTGATTTTATTTTCTGTAACGTAGGTTCGTATTAGACTAACTTCATCAAACAGTTCGTTCTGATTCAATATCGGACCTACTTAGTCTTTGAAAGCCTCACACGACGATAAAATTTCAGCCCAAGAAACTTGTTTTTTCAAGTTAACTCATCCAAATAGCCTTAGTTTACTAAAATTTTCACTCCAGTTTTTCAAATATGTTACACAATTTGAATAGAACTGCTTGACATGCGTGATAAAGATATCCCGATAGTTCACACTAAGGTCAAGGTCTTCCATATTTTCAAGTTTTGAAAGGGACTCTCTTACTTTAAGCGGCAAAAATAACTTATTTAAGCGATTTTGAAGCTTATTTATAAGTTCGAAATACTCCAAAGCGGCTTCCGTTGCGCATATTTTGTCACCTTCTACATCTAAAATCACTTTGTGGAAGAGAGACGCAATGTTATGCACAAACCACATCCATGCTTCACTGATTGGGTTTTGAAAAAACTGTTTTAGAACTGTTGGACAATTATCAATCGACAAAAAATATGCTTTCAAGGGTTCGAACATTTGTATAATTGGTTCAATGGCTGGCATTAGGCTCAAAAATCTTGTTTTTAAAAACGACAACATTTTTTGTACTCGATATCAACAAAATCGCAAAACTGTTTTAATTTCTCCACTCTGACTGTAAAAATATAGAAATACTTAAAAATCTTGACCGCAATAACTTCGATGTCTATGGGTAAGACGACCGTCGCATTTTGTAAACAGTTATTAAAAATGTGTGCCACACAACCAATTCCAATCACGGGTTTACCACGAGAAGCATTTAATTTGCTGAATAGATTATTCACTCCTTTTTTTCTCATTCCACCAAAATTTGTATTTATAGTATTAGCAGACATTCCGATGAATTTTTGTAGTAAATTATGGTGGTTCAAAACATTGACCACGTAATCTTTTAACTGCTCTGATGTTTCACCAGGTAAGTCACGTAGCTGAAGTAATTTTACTTGGACACCATTTTCTCCATCAAAATGTCTTACTATTAAGGGTACAACTTTAATTTCTCTATGATTCGACGAATCGATTGTAATGCTGACGAAATTTGCTTTTCGAAGTCTTGGTTCGAGCTGCCGCAAATTTAGGTTCAAACATGCTTACAATTAGTTTTGACGTGCAGTCTAAGGATCTGAAACTTTGCAAATGCTTAATTTTATGGTAAGCAAAAGTACCTTCCTTGGCAGCAATCAACATATTTTCAGAACTTAAATTTTCTTTTTTAACAAAGGTTTGCAATTTGCTGCTCTCCGAGGTCGCATTAGTAGCCAACATGTATTTTTTCTTTGACAAATGTTGTTTGATATTACTGCGACCACTGTTAGAAATATCAACATCACTTTTACAAACTTGGCAAAACACAATATGCGTTGAAACATTTGATTTTTGTTTCATAAAAGGATACTCTGCTTGCAACTCGACGTTAAAATGACATTTTTTGACAATGATGAAATTGTTTATTTTTCCACACAGCCCAAAATAATATAAAAAACGATGAAAAGTGTCGGTAAAAAGTAATCAATAGTGAGCGCATCAATTCGAATCATAATTATATTTTGTTTGGACAAAAAGTAGGACTTAATTTTGTGTAATTAAGAAAAAGAGTACATTTAGGTGTACTTCATAAATTTTAAAGTACAATAGGACAGCGTTTGAAAAGAAAGTACTGTCCTACTAAAAAAAGTACATATGGCCACCCTATTTATAGTTCTCTTCTGCAATCAAACAATTTCACTTTTTTCTTTGCTAGTTAATAACAATATCTCTTAAATAATCTAAAGGTGTTTTAAGTTAACTGTCAAAGTCTTTTGTCAAGTCAAATGTCTTGTCAGCGCATCCTAGATTATTTGTTCTCTTTTTATGTAGACATGAGTTTGTCTGTTTTCAATGTGCCTCCAGTAAGTTATCGTTCCATTGTTTTCGCGATCTTCCTATTCATCGTCTTTTTATTGGGAAATCGTCTTTCACTTTTACTATTTCACTACTCCATTTGTTGTCATTCTGCTTATGTAAATAGTTCCATTCTACTCTTCTCTTTTTTACCCAGTTCTTGATGTTCTGCACTTTGTATCTCAGTCATATACCTGTACTTCTAGCTCTGTCCTATAGTGTCTTACCATCAACTCTTTAAGGGTTTTATATATGCTGTTTCTAGCATTCTTTTTATCTCTCTGTATTGGGTCATGTTTCTGTCGTATATTATTATTGGCCTGATGTCTGTTTTGTAAATTTTGCCTTCCATTTCTTTCCCGATATTCTGCCTAGATTTTCTACTTGCTGATTCGTCAAGAATGGAGATCAATCATTCTATCTAATTCAATTATTTAAGAACTCTAATACCCGTTTGTAATATAAATTCTGCGTTTTTATTCATATTTCATCAACTCAAAATTGAAATTTCATATCATAGGTTTTAAAAATTAATCTCTGAAAATAGAAATTTTTACTACGACTGGTCATTGAAAAAAATAGTCAAAATTGCCCAACATTTATTTAACACCTTTATACAAACTAAGTTTATTCTCTGCAAAATACAAAAACCTTTACCTTTAAAATGCATCTTGATTTTTGTCGATAGGATACCTTAATCAAAAGATATCGAATTTTTACCGTCGAGCTGATACAAATCTCATTGAACATTTATTTCGTGCCCGTGTCTGACATTCAAAATCGACGGTCGCTTCAAGCGTTGTTTCTGAGAGAACGGTTCATTCTACACAAAAAGTAATACACATTCTTGTTTAAAATTATCTCAGCTACATTTTTTATTTAAAACATTTTTTTCTACGGCGTACAGAATCTTGGTAAATCGATTTTTCTGAGTTTTTACTCCCCTACGAGGGGAGTTTTTGAAGGAAGCCCGGGGTAAAAGTGGTAAACTTTTTTACATCTCTCGGCAAAATTCAGCTTATTCGTATGATTTTTAGTAGTCAACTCTCTGATGACTGGACTAATAGTTAAATAAAATCATATTTTGTTAAAAATGTTAAGAATATTGAAAATAGAATATTTGAGTGAATACTAAACAGAATTTAAAATAAGTTTCCATTAACATTAATAAATGATTAACTATATTTACTTCTCGTGATGCAAAATGTCGACTTCCGACTAAAAACTTCTGTCGAAAATAAGTTATATACATATTTTGCTTACACCTCAGATAGCTTATATACTATGTATACGTAAATGTGAAGCTTTTACTGTGTAAAATATTATATTACTTTTTAAAGGCAAAGGATACTTCTTCAGCTGGAAAGACCAAAACACAAAAGGAGTAGAGCAAGATTGGTTATCAACTAGAAACTACTGCAGGAAACGTTGTATGGACTTGGTTTCTTTGGAAACAAGTGCTGAAAATGAGTGGATCAAAAGACACATCGTTGAAGATAAGGTAAGATAACAGTATTTAAAAAATTACATAAATAAGGTTTTATTTTATTTTACTTTCTACGTTAACGTTGCTTTGATGTTCAAATGTGTAATCTAATGTAGTTCTTTTTATTCAGATTTAGCCTTACTCACTCACTCAAAGGGAAAAAATAGCTTAATACCTACGTAAAAAAAATTAAGCTCTGGTGGGACTCTTTCCATGTTATCGAGTTCTAGGTGACTTGGTACGCTGGAGTATCTTCCAAAAATTTTCATACACATCTGGTCGTTGAGAGTAGTACAGCTTTCTGCAAGGTCTTGTAGAGATATTCATTCAGCTTTTTTAGGTTTTTTGGGAGGTTCTTTTTACTTTACACTTTACACCATACTTTACTATATGGCATGGAAGCGTGGACAATAAAGCAGTCTGAAATCAAAAAATTAAACTCCTTTGAGATGTGGTGCTACAGGAGAATGCATAAAATATCGTGGATTGAAAAAGTAACTAATATAGAGGTGTTACAAAGAATGAAGAAAGAATGTGAAGTCATAAAAACTGTTAAAAATTAGAAAGATTCAATATCTGGGACATTTAATGAGGGGTGAGAAGTACGTATTACTGAGGTTGATTATGCAAGGGAAGATACAAGGGAAGAGAAACCCAGGACGACGCAAAATGTCCTGGCTAAGAAATTTGAGAGAGTGGTTCGGCTGCAGCTCATTAGAATTATTCAGAAATGCGGCCAACAAAGTTAAAATAGCGATGATGATTTCCAACCTCCGCTAGGAGAAGGAACCCGAAGAAGAAGAAGAAGGGAGGTTCTTCGGAACGACTCCAGTAGTAGAGAGAATAATAGATATTGTCTTGGTAGTTTACTTTCTCCACTGTCTTCGTAATTAAATTTCGAGATCCCTATACTTGGCGATCTTTTTGTTCTGTTTAACACGAAGATTATTATTGTTCGATATCGTCACATTAATTAGTGTTGTTTGTCTCTTTAGTTTATTGACTAGTATGAGATCTAGTCTATTATATGCAGAGCACAGTGCGGTCCAGGTATAGCTTGTAGTTGTCATTCTCACGTATACTCTTGGGAACGTATTGATTATATGGGAGATGGTTTGTTTGGAAAAGTCCCGATTTGATGGCTATCTCTTGATGAAGGATCTTTCCTACTGAGTCGTTCCGTATAATTGTAGCAGATGCTTGGCAACCCTAGGTAAGATGTTGGATGGTTTCTTGAGCTTGACAACCATATTGGTATTTGTAATTTTCGATCTGAGGTTCTTTGATGAACGGGGGGGGGGGGATGAAATGAGGTTCTCTGAATTTTTGGTTAGTATAACCTGATCCTGAATATCGAGGTAATAAACCTTCTGTTTCAGGAAACAGTTTTCTGTTGTCAGCGAATAGTTCAACGCTATATTGTCGACATAGTCTTGACTGACCTCATTGGGATATCGCTTGTGCAGAGGTTTACCCATCCAGATGCACATTTTTTCGTTCCTATAAAGGTGGTTTATTGATATTTCTGGTTCCCTCAGTTTGATCGGTGCTGTATCATCTACTACACAAATTGCGCGATGTAGAGTAGATGTCTCAGCCAGCACCTGAAAATAAGTTCTTAAATTAGTAATCTGTTTTTCTAGTTGCTCACTTATATCCGTACTTCTCCTTACTTCGAGGATGGTGTTTTTGTGCCTTTGTGAGGTGTGTTCTGGCCGACACCACAAGGGCACAAAATCTCCTGGGGCAAACCAGATCATCGCAGAAGTTTTAAAAGAAACTGGAGATGTTCGAGTAAATATTATTCATATGATCTGCAAAAATATTTGGGAAATCGGAGAGTAGCCCAACGACTGGAGAATATCCACTTTCATCCCTATATTCAAAAAAGGAACTCCACTAGATTGCAGCAACTCCAGAGCGGTAACCCTAATATCCCATGCAAGCAAGGTTCTACTTCATGTAATACATGAAAGACTAAAAGCTTTTCTATTGGCTCAGATATCAGAAGAACAAGCGGGATTTGTCCCAGGAAAAGGCATGAGAGAACACATCCTTAATGTCAGACAGCTAATCGAAAAAACTCGTGAATTCAATACTTCTATGCTTATGTGCTTTGTAGATTACACAAAGGCCTTCGATAAAGCCAAATGGCAGCAGCTATAGTCTATACTAGCGGAAATGGGAACACTCCACCACTTAATTCAATTAATTAGAAGTCTATATGAAAGTAATAGGTGCACAGTAAAAATAAACAATACCCATTCCTATAATTTCACAACAGAGGCAGGTGTCAGGCAGGGATGCATAATCTCGCCAACTCTGTTTAATATCTACAGCAAACACATTATGCAAAAAGCACTAGATGGATGGAAGGGCGGAATATCAGTAAGAGGTCAAAAAATCAATAACTTGAGTTATGCTGACGACACTTTAATATTCGCGGCTAATCAAGAAGAAATAGAAGACATAATGAGATGTCTGAACGAAAAAAGCAAAACATATGGACTAAAGCTAAATAGCAGTAAGACAAAGATCATGATACTAGACATAGCTCGGAATAATCTTCAACAAATTAAAGAAATTGGGGGCTTTGAAGTAGTAAATAGTTTCATACATCTGGGGTCCCTAATAACAAATGACGGAGGGTGTGACAGAGAGATAAGTGGAAGGTTGACTATTGCTAGAACAGCTATGATGAAACTGGTAGCAATTTCATTGTCTACAAAACGTGGACCTTAAAGAAAGCGGATAAAAATAAACTGGAAGCTTTTGAAATGTGGGTATACCGCCGCATGTTGAGAATATCCTGGATTGATCATCGCACTAACGTATCGATATTAGAACAACTTATAGTAAAGGGTATATTGCTTAAACAAATACAACAGAGATATTTGCAATATTTTGGACACATTGCTAGAATAACATGAAAAAACTGATAGTCGAGGGTAGAGTTGAAGGAAAGAGAACTAGGCGAAGATCTCCAAGCCGTTGGGTAGATCAAATCAAAATATTGAAATATTGCCCAGGATAGAGAAGGATGGAGAAAAATCGCAAAAAAACTGTAAAGGCCTGATGTGTCACCACATCCCAAAAGGGATTACTAGTGAGGAGGTGAAGAGAGGCGTGTTCGTACTTTTCGCTTAATAATACGACCACACCTCACCATTTTCTATATACGTTTTTGTCCACTTAACAATACTAAATGAGTAGCTAAGCGCGAAGCGGTGTGTAGATGTTTCGTGCTTTAAACAAATTTTTACTGTTAAGGTGTGAACGAAGCAGCTGTTTTATACTTCGTATAAACTCAATAGTGATCTTAGTTTTCATTTGCTTATGGTCAATCTTCTGAGCTTGCTTTATTCCGAGGTATTTATACATATCCGTTTCATTCATGGCCTCGATGTTCTGGCCATTTTGCATATCGAATCTGTCAGGCTAGACCTTTCTTTTGTTTATATTTAAGACACGGCACTTGTCATAACCGAAGTGCATACTAATATCATTAGAGAAATTTTCTACTGTTTTTAGCATTTGATGCAGGTGGCTTTGAGTGGAAGCCAATAATTTTAAATCATCTATATACAATAAATGATTAAGCCTTGCCACAATAGTAGTGTTATTTTTGATGCTAAAACCTGTATCAGTTGAGTTTAGTAGCTGGGATAGGGGGTTTATCGCTGGATAAAACCACCGTGGGCTCAACGAATCTCCTTGAAATAGACCCCGGTTAATTGCAATAATTTCAGTTTCGGTTTTCTTTCCACCAGATATTTGGAGGTGAATTTGTGTCTTCCAATCTGACATTATGTTTTAAAAAGGTCACTATGTTGTTATCGACTTTATATATTTTTAATATATCTATAAGCCATTTATGCGGCACTGAATCAAACGCTTTCTTGTAGTCAAAGAAAGTAGTAAAAAGATTTCTTTTTTTTGATAAATGATTGGTTAGAAATGACAAAGTCGATGATAGATAGAGCACAGTGTTGGTAGATACGACGGGCTACACAGGATGTGAGCAATTTATACAGAGTTGCGCGCGTAACAGAAGTAATTGCGCGATCCTTAGTTGGATCTTGGGTGATATTTTGACCTTTTGGTATTAAATAAGTTGTTCCCTAGATTAGGAAAGATGGTATTTCTTACGGATTAGCAATAGTGTGATAAATAACGCTGATAAGTACTCATGAATACTCCAGAACTTCTTAATTATTATTATATTATGATTTGTCTCATTTTATCATTCTGTCTGCTACCGTTGCCCACAACGGTAGCATCCAAACAATTTTTAAACTGTTTCTCCATTGTCTACTGTTAGTTGTTTGAGTAGATGTAGCACATCATTAAATGTTAACATTTTAATGATGTGCTGGACAACCAAAACTTTTTGACAAATTTCCCCTGAAGATGTTCTGAGAGCAAAAGTACTTGGACAAGATCTGATAAAAAACTGTGATCGATATCTGTCTTTAATTTGTATAGTTTATTATTAATTTGTTTGATTATATTAAGTTATTTTATAATTTTAAAATCAATTTTAATAAATAACACCTGTTTTAAGATAAGGCATCTTTAAAATATATGTACGAGTAATCGAGTAGATACCATGTGGACACTTTTAATAAACATACTTAATAATTTAGATTTTTAATGAGATTACTTTCAAAAATTTCTTTAAAATAAATATAATTTGCCATTATACATGCTCTTATTAATTTCCAAGAAGAGATCACATACTTATATTTTAATTTTTATTGCAATATGATCGAGGTCAGTAAACAGGAATATTAAAAAGTTTGTTTAAATTATACTACGCACTATATGTAGATATTTCTACTGTTGAAAAGTTCCATCTCAAAGAAGCGCACTTAATTTTCCATTACTCATTGCAAATGACTATTTTTATCACACCACTGAAACTTTCACACAACGGACGAAATGTGCATACTTAGTACAGTTAAAAATATTTAACGATAAAAAATATAAAAATGAAATTGTTCTTTTTTCTCTAC